TCAATTGCCCAGGCACTCAAAAGCCACCACAGCCATGATCCAAAGGGTCTGGCTACTTGACATTGTCCATGTGCTGCTGTGATTTCAGGCTTGCAGGATGCAATAGTGGGGTCATAGAGGCTTCCATCAATATTTCAAAGGAAGGCCTCAAAGAGCACCCAGTGTGTCTCAGGGGAGGATTCCCTGCAGGCAGCCTCTGAAGAGGATATGGGAAACTGAACCTCAGTCGAGACTCTAGGACATTGGAGATGCTAGAAACATGAAACATCATTAAGGAAAGCCACAGTGACTGGAAGCAGCCCAAGAGACAGACACACAAAGTTGTGTAAACCCCATCATGTGTCCAGGATGACAGGCATGGAGCCACAGGTTTTATGGCTTTACCTACTCAGTTTTGATCATGTTTTGGTCCAATCAAAATACAGGATTTTGAAAGCACAATATAAGTCTGTAACATATGCACAGGCCTGTTTATACAACTCTGATTCCTACAGCTATTTCTATATGGAGAAATTCACCTTGGAATCCTTCTCTTTTGTAACAATAATATTTATTTTGTAAGCTCGTATGTTGTAAGTATGTACCTTGTTGATTTTTATATGGGCTCATAGGTAAGAGTTTGTATTGGGTCTCAGAAGAAACTTTTATTTTGTGGACCCTCCCCACTCCCCAGGACCTAACAGAGGGTCTTGCCTTTGTTAGGCAAGCTCTCTACCACTGAACTGACTCCCTAAGCCCAAGATGAAACTTTGAACTTATGTCTTAGGAGGGACTGGAGAGATGGTTCAGTGTTTAAGGGATGACCTGAGTTCATGTCAGACAGCTCACAACGGCCTGTAAACCCTGTTCCAGACTGATCTTGAATTCACAGAGATCTGCCTGCCTCTGCCTCCCAAGTGCTAGGATTAAAGGCGTGTGCCACCATACCCGGCTAATAAGAATAATCTTAAAAATAAACAGCCTTTGGAGCAATTTCAGAATTGGTTAAAGAGTTGGTGACTTTGGGGGACAGACTAAACACAACAGTGTCATGAGATGGAGTTGAGCCTTTGGAGGATGTGGTGATTTGAAAAGTGTTTCCCATAGGTTCCAAGAATTTGCACACTTGGTCCTCAGTTCATGGCACCGTTTGAAGAGGCTCAAGGAACCTTTAGGAAGTGTGGCCATGCTGGAGGAAGCATATCACTGCGGGCAGGCTTTGATAGTTGTTAAGCCTTGTCAGATTTCCAGTTTCACTGTTTCCTTTGCCAGTTGAAGATGTGAGTACTTAGCTTTCTGCTCTGGTCACCTCTTGCCAACATGCCTCCCCCTCCATGATGGACACTCCCTCTGCGACCCTAAGCCAAACACACCCTTCCTTCTACAAGTGCCCTCGGTGGTGGTGTTCTATAACAACAGGAGTAACCAATTACAGAGACCAACAGCAGAATGTTACGGCTTAAATATAAAATGCCCTCTAGAGCCTCATGTTTTGAGTGCATGTTCCTTAGATAGTGGTGCTATTTTGGAAGATTCTGGAAACTTTTGTAAGTGGGGTCTACCTGGAGGAAGCAGGGGACTGGGGGTGGGTCTTTCAGAGTATATTGCTTCTGGTCTCTTTGCTTTTTGCTCCTCTGACATGAGGTGCAGAATTTCCTCAGCCACATGCTCCTACTTCTGTGATATCTGGCCCAAGCGACTATGGGCTAATTTCTCTGAAACCATTTGCTAAATCATTCCTTATTTGTCAGTTCTTTTGGTTAGTATGACATAAAAGACACACAATATCACAGTATTTATGTTTCAACACTGTACTTTGAACACTGTTGTTCAGATGTTGCCATGAGATTGGGAACTATGATCGCTCCACAATAATGTCTTTGTATTTCATCTTGTTATGGTGAAATATAGGATTCTGAATGTACTATGCAAGTTCAGGATGTATGCACAGACCCCTTTATGCAGCTTAGATTCACTGAACTATTTCTAAATGTTTAATTTTACACAGAGTTTCACCTCTCCTCTTATTCTGTACCCTCGGTTGTTTCTGTTTTTTGTTTTTTTTTTCTCTTCCCCAGACAGGGTCTTACTAGGTAGCTCTGATTGGCCTGAAACTCACTGTGTAGAGCAGGCTGGCCTTGAATCCACAGAAATTCATCTGCCTCTGCCTCTGGAGTGCCTGGATTAAAGACATGCAATACTATACCTGGTCATTGGGTTGTTTATGAGGCATCTGTGAGCTCCTCTTTCCTAGAATAAGCAATTTAAATGCTTGTTGTGTAACAAATTTTGTGATAATACAAAGAAAAGGATTATTGATTATGTGTCCGCTAGACCAGTACATAAGTTTGTTTACAGCATCTTCTTTTCCATTTGCATGTACTTCCTGCATAGAGTTTTCTACTGTCCTCTGGAACAAGTTGTCACGGAGTTCGGGACCACCACGAAAGACTACCCAGACTCAAAAAGATCCGAATCAGCTGAATCTAGCTAGCTAGCCAGGGGTAACACTCTCTCTAACAATTTAGGGAGTGCTGCCCTTACTGGGAGGAGCTGGGAGATTTTGAAAGGTAAAGTCCAAAAGGCAAAGTCCTCGGTATGAGATTGAAGCTTTTACGATTTTATTAGAATTTTAAAGAAAAATCCCCAGGGCAGGCAGGCTGGCAATCCCGGCAGCTGCCTTGAGGAGGAGAGAGAGAGAGAAGGAAAGCCGTGAAACCATGCAAGCTTATAGCTTACGTGGGGGTCGGACACATGGCTGACTGGCAGCCACATGGCTGGAAGAAGGAAGCTTTATAGAAAGTAAAGAAATACGAGATGCCAAGGGCAGCCCAAAGCCTTAAAGAAAGCATGTTTAGAAAGACAGGAGGAAGAAAAGGAGAAATTCTGCTTTTCCAAAGAATTCAGTAAAGTGGGCAAACAGAAACTTACATGACTGTGGCTGGTCTGGAAGCTCTGTGCCGGTAGGCAGGATTCCAGGCAGGAAAAACTCAGTATCTCATTAATGCACTAGGTATTCGGCCCATCTATTTAGCATAATCTGCATTCCTATGACCAGATGATTGACTAGTTAAAACTTATAGGGTATTAAGGTTAACTAAGGAGGCAGAGGCAGGTGGATCTTTTTGAGTTCAAGGCCAGCCTGGTCTACATAGCGAGTTCCAGGACAGCTGGGGCTACAGGGAGACCCTGTCTCAAAAACACCGAAAAAAAAAAAAAAAACAAAAAAAAAAAAACCTCCAAAAACCAAAAAACAACCCCCCACAAAAAAACCAGAAAACAAAGTTAACTAAAAAAAGTTTCTCAGCATTTCCACCTGATAATTACTACCTTTTGTAAGAATTTATGCCTGATGACAATGCAAACAATGTAGATGTTTCTTTATTCAAAGTCAGGAAAACTTTTCTAGATCTGTTGCTAAAATTCCTGTCAGGTGCAAATGCCACCTAGCCCCCTCCTCCCACCCTCTTATGACAAACCGAGGTATAATTTCTCTAAATACAGTTTGGGAGACTAAATAGTTTATTGGGGTTACTTACAAAGCAGTGGGTGAGGGATTACTTACAGGCCTGTGGGGGCTCCCCCGACTCCAAGGCCCCACTGGACAGTCTCCATATTGACTTTCCAAAGTGGCAAGAGTGCAGGCCTCATGGCTACCTCACTCCCCTTAGTCCCATCCCCTGGTGCAACTAGGGCTGATTGGTTGGGAGGTGTGGCTGACTCGCCCTGCCCCTCCCTTCTTGTAGAGTGTCAACAGTCAGGTTTGTGATGATCCTAAGCAAGTGGGTTGCAACCAAGATTGACATTCTAAGGACATTAAAAAATTAAACTTTTTTTTTATGTGTATGAGGGTATTGCTTGCATGTGAGTGCACCCATGTCATGCAATGCTGCAGAGGTCAGAAGAGGGCTTCGATTCCCTAACTGGAGTTAAGGATGGTTCATAGCCGCCATGTGTGTGCTGGGAATTGAACCCTGGTCCTCTGCAAGAGCACTCAGAGCGCTTAACCGCTGAGCCATGTCTCCAGCCCTCTAAGGACGTTTTTATACAAGATCTGAATTTATATTTCTAAAAACAGCTTGAAGACCAAACACACTTGCTTTAAGATTGGAATATTTGCTACGTTTACTTTACCACATGTACTGTACACAATAAGCTATTCAAATATTAGGTGGAGAAGCTGGGGAAAGTGGTGTGTACCAGTCATTTCAGCACTCCAGAGGAGTGGTGAAGATCAAAGCCTCTGCTACAGAATCGTTAATGCTTTTTCCAGAGTCATGGGAGGTCTGGGCGACTTAGGTCAGCAAAGAAATAGCTGACTGATGTGAAGGGACAGACTGGCTGGGAGAATGCCTTCAACTCCCAAGTGCTGGGATGTTTTGATTTTTGATAAGTCATTTCAACATTCTTATACATTGCTCAATTCAGTTTAGAATAACTTTTTTGTTTGGTTTTTGGGAGAGGGTCTCACAATGTCACCTTGGCTGGCCTGCAGCTCACTATATAGTAGTCAAGGCTGACTTTGAACTCACAGAGACCTTCCTGCCTCTGCCTCCAGAGTTGCTGGGATTAAAGAAGAGCGTCTAAGCCTGGCTTTGGAATAACTTGTTATTTTGGAGATTAAACAGGTTATAAACTATGTAAACTGACTGGCACTCAAAGCTTATTGGTACCTTCCTGTTATTTTTCAGTAATTTTTGTGGGATCCTAAATATAGCAAAAAAAAAAAAAAAAAAGGTACTTCCATTAACAATACCTTAAATGGCTGCTGAAATGCAAAATAAAACCACCTAGTGGAACGTTACTTGAATATGGTATTGTGGTTTTCAAAGCCTTCTGCCTGCTACCACACCCAGAATGTTATGCATGCACTGTTACTAAATAAAATTGTCCTTAAATATCACAGCCTTCAAGTTTGAAAATGATTTCTCTGAGGAGTCACTTAGTTCATTTTACAGAATTGTTTCTAATGGTCTCTTTATTATATATAATGCAGAAGCAACCTCACATTTTCTTGTGTATAATTCTTCGGTTATTCTAATCCCCAAATATGTTTAAATGTGCTTCTTTTCTAACGAACGTACAGCATTCCTGCTTCTTACATATGAATTTTGAGTTTTTTTTTTTTCTAAGAAGGAGGAAGAATATTGACCCATATAGAAGGGAAATGCTTTCATGATTTTATTTTAGGTGAGCTGTAAAAGCCGGATCGGAATCACCTGTGAAGCCAAGGAGGTTGTTTACGTAATGGCTCCAGTCTGTTATGTAGGTCTTTCCAACCTAGATTAAAGGGAAAAAAAAAGGCCGCTCAAGTCCCACCTTTTGCAGCGAACAGCTGATTCTGTTTTCTCTTTTTAGCCAATGGTGATCAGATATTTCAGAAGGAAATGGGGTGAGTCATCTTCTGCAGATAAGCTGAAATATTAATAGTGCTATCTCCATCGGGCTCTCCTGCAGCCAGAGCGAGACTCCCGGAGCCAGCGAAGCGGCTACCGGCTGCAGAGGGCTGTGGGTCGGAAAGACGTGGAACCCGAATACGACTTTGCACTTTGAGATTATTTTCCTTTCCAGTTCTCGGGCTTGAGCGAGTTTTTAGAACAGATGGACTTGAAACCTGCCTGACCGCGGCCCCCCCACTGGAAGCCCTGCTGCGGTGAGTAGGTCGACCGCGAGCGTTTCCACTGGTTACGGATGCTCCGGGGTCCTGGGTAGGCGTGCGCGGTTTGCGGGGTGCGCGCAAGCTCTGGGTCCAGCGGCCCCCGCCTGGCTCTCCCGGACCTGCAGACCTGACCCGCGCAGGACCTGCCTGCGCCACCAGGGGGCACCGTACGCTGCGCTTCTGTGGCCACTCGCTCGGTCCTGCTCTGCGCGGCCGAGGAACCCACGCGGATTCGCCGAGCGGAGACCTCAGACTGCCCAGGAGCCCCGAACGGATCCAGGGCGGCGCGGCGGAAGACGCGGAAGACACGACGAAACTACCGGAGCCTGGGTGGGGGGCGGGGGGAGAATCTTCCTGTGGTTGCAGGGAGTGGCGTGACACCTGAGGGCGGGACTTCCGGAGCCTTCGTTGCAAGTCGGAGCTTCCGGCGGCTGCGGGGAGCTGCCTGAAGAACGGGGGCGGGACTTCCGGAGGTTCCGGAAGGGCGGGCGCGCCGGGTCGGGGTCGCCGGGTCGCGTCAGTGCGGAGTGGGCTCGAGTTGTGCATGTCCGTCCGTCCATCCGTCTGTCCAGCGTGCTGTGTCGCCCAGAACACTCAGGCCCAGTGTGACCGGGACTAGCTCCAGGCGGGGACGAGTGCGGCACTGTGATAGGTGAGGTCGCCATCTTCCCGGCTGTCGGGCTTTGCGTCCTTCCCGGGTGCCCAGAGGAGGGGTCGGGATGGAAGTGGCGTCGAGGAGGTCAGGTTCGAGATAAACCGAGGCATCCGGCCCCTGTGCCTTCCCTCCGTGCCCATGTGGCGCCTGTCTGGCACCTGGGTCCCGGGGGAAGCCCTGGGGAGGCCTTCCAAAGGCGGTGGTGTTCGGACCCCCAAGGGGCCTGGTGAGGGAGGGGAGGAGGAAGGTGACAGGGGTGAGCAGATGCAGAAGGGCTTGGTGGGGAGAAGGGAGGTGGCGGGGCCGTGGGCAGATGCGGAAGGGGCTAACCCCTCCAGGCCTTTGTTCTCCGCCTGACTTCTTTCTTTTCCCCTGTAAGTACACTGCCACCACCTAGGACAGGCAGTTTTAAGACACTATAACAGATCAGTTTTAGCAAAGAGTCGCATTAATAACCCATCCCTATTTATGAGCAGATAGACCCAGGCTTAGAGGCGTTTGTCCAACTTGGACTCTACGCGTTCCGTGTGCTTGTCTAGGCCGGTTAACTCTGCACCTTATCCTTTCTCAGTCTCATCTAAGTTCAGATGGATTTGTTTTTTAAATTAAAAAATTTTTTTTTTGTGTGTATGAGTATATTGCCTGCATGCATGCAAGTGTACCTGTGTCCTGCAGTGCCCGCGAAGGTCAGAAGAGGGTGTCAGAGTCCCTGGAATTGGAGTTAGGGATGGTGGTTAGCCACCATGTGGGTGCTGGGAATTGAACCCGGGCCCTCTGCAAGAGCAGCCAGTGCTCTTAACCGCCCAGCCATCTTTCCAGCTCCGGGTTTCTTTTAAATTTAGTATTTTAACCTAGGAATTACGCGTTAAAAGCATTTCTGGCCGGGCGTGGCGGCCTTTAATCCCAGCACTCCGGATGCAGAGGCAGGAGGTTCTTTGTGAGTTCAAATGCCAGCCTGGTCTGGTCTACATAGTTCCAGGACAGCTGGGGCTACAGGGAGAAAAAAAAAAAAAACCAAAAAAAAAAAAAAAAAAAAAAAAAAAAAAAAGTATTTCTGGAGCTATTTGACTCTAAGAAATACAGCTCAAAATAATCACATGCCTTCAGGATCCCCTTTCATTCTGTCATACTGTACTTTCCTGTTTTGGATACTTCTGATCAAATTCGAGTGTTTCTAACATTCTTTTGATATTAGTCCCCACACTTGGATGTAATATATAAATAAGATCTGACCAAAGTGGAATAGGTGGAATGGGCTTTTATCTCCTTGTTTTGTATACTTCCCTTCTATTAATACTGCCCACAGGAGACTGGAGGGCAGTGGCCACTGGCCACATGTAGTAACAATGTGACCTTGGGTAAAGAACTTCCAAAGGCTGGTGGTGGTGGTGTTGGTGGCTGCGGCCTGCAACTTTAATCTCAGCACTATGGAGGCAGAGGCAGGTAGATCTCTGTGAGATTGAGGCCAGCCTGGACTATGTAGTGAGCTCCAGGCCAGCTGTGGCTACTGGGAGATCCTGTCTCAAAAAAAAGAACAAAACCAAAAAACAAAAAAACCTTAGGAAGTCTCCATTTCCTACCTGTTCCTCATTTTGCTGTTGGGAAGGTTGTGTATGTCAGGCCTTCTTGATGTTTCCTTCAGGTTCTCCCATTCTCTTTAATATTTCTTTTTGTTTAACTGTGCTGGTCTGTTAACTTACTTTGTGCTTGCCTTGAACTAAAATCCTTAGGTCCTTCCCCCAGAAGGATTTTTATTTGTCCTGTCTTAATTTTTCTAAGGAAAAAAATATTTCTATTAAATTTCATTCTGGATTTGAGTTTTTCTTTTAGTTGTTGAGTGGTTTAATCCAAGGGATGGCACCTGTCAGTTTAGTTTCCTTCATAGACCTGATAAGCTTGCCTTCTACGCCTTCATCTCATTTGTGACAGAACATTTTAAGTGGGTAGCAATGCTGGTGAGAGGTTCCTGAGGTTGCCTGTAGAGCCCCTTCTCTCATCTGAGGTTGGTTAGAAGTTGTATTGTTTCAGCCTTCTAGTTCACCTGAAAGTAGTATTGCAATAAAGTACTAATAACAATAAAAACTATAAGCTTGTGGATATTCAGTGACATTTTATAGTTTTTACTACCATTTGCAAATTATATTCTTTAAAAATTATTTTAAACTAAACACCTTTTTTTTTTTCCGTGTGTGTGTGTGTGTGTGTGTGTGTGTGTGCGCGTGTGTGCGTGTGTGTGTGTGTGTTTGTTTGACATGGGGGTCTCACTGTAGCCCTAGCTGGCTTTGAACTTGCTTTGTAGGCCAGGCTGGCCTTGAACTCACAGAGATCCGCCTGCCTCTTCCCCCCAAATGCATTAAATGCCTGTGCTATCACGCCCAGCAAATTAAATAACTTTTAAATATTACGTGTATGAGTGTTTTGCCTGTATGTATGTATGTATGTGCACCTGTGTTGTGAAATGTCCATGGAGGCTAGAAGAGGGCGTTGGATTTCTTGGAACTGGAGTTAAAGGCAGTTAGTTGCTAGTCATGATGTGGGTACTGGGAAGTGAGCCCAGGTTCTCTGGAAGAACAGCCAGTGTTCTAAACTGTGGAGCCATTTCTCTAGCCCCTCAAATTATATTCTTTAACCACTCTTTTGCACATGATTAGCATTTTTGAAATTAGCCATCTAAGCAAGTTTTTTTTTTTCCTTGTTGAAAGAAATTAAGATCCTTCCTACAGGATACAAAATGAGAGTAATGTTTTGCATTATTTCAAATGAAAGCATGAATCAAGAATTTGTTATATTACTCTTAGAAACTACTTCAGCTGCCTGCGTTTCTGAAGTTATATTTATGTCTAAGAAAAATCTGATAACTTAAGGTAATGACCACTTAATATTGAGCATTTTGAAGAGAACAGAAAGCTAGGTGTTCAGTGATAATGTCCCTCCTATGACATTTGCAGAGATAGTGAACTCAGCACATGAACACCAAATATGCTTAGAGATTTTGTTAATCTGTAAATATGTGGCTAGCACCTCTCCTCGGGCTACTGCACCTCCTCGGGCTGCTGCACGAAGGCTGGACGTGTGTTGTTCCGCCTTGCTTGCAAGCAGGAGGGGAGATAACGCTCCAGTGACAGTATGCTGTAAGGACAAATGAGCTTGACAGGCCTTTTAAAGAGTTCAGAAGGAAACCATATTCTAGCTTTCCATTTAATGTGATGATCTGTCCTATAACATTGGGAATGTGAGTATTTCAAAGAAAGCCTTTGGAGTGTTCTCTGTCTCTCTCTCCCTCTCTCTCTCTGAATCTGTCTCTGTCTCTGTCTCTCTCTCTGTCTCTGTCTCCCTCTCTGTCTCTTTCTCTCCCCCCATCTCTCTCTGAGTCTGTCTGTCTCTCTCTCTGAGTCTCCCTCCCTCCCTCCCTCCCTCCCTCCCTCATTTAGGTGAAGTAGTGCATAGTACTTAGGGGGATTTTTGTGTGTGTGCATGGTGCTGGTCATGGAACTCATGGTGTCCGCTGTGCTTGGCTAGCTACTTAGCACTGGGCCACATCCCCAGGCCTAGCTTATTTTCAGAGTGGAACAGTTTGGTTTCTCGTTATAGTTGTGTGATAAATTTGCTGTTTAGTTTGTTAAATACTGTCAGACTCCTGGATTTGGGAACTCTGCCTTACATTGGTTTTGTGAGGATCAGTGACTGTATTTATTCATTTGTTTAAATCTTATAGGCAGCCCTTTGTAGTAGTTTTCAACCTCAGAGCTTCCTGCTGCTGACTTCCTCTAGGAACCGCGTTCTTTCAGGTTTCGTTTCTTGACTGGCTTGGATCCCATGTACATCATTTCAACATTCTTGTTTTTTTTTTTTTTTTTTTTTTTTTTTTTTTTTTTTTGGTCCCATCTCTTAATAAATACCAATATGGAATTCACTATGTAGACCAGGCTGGCTTCCAACTCCAAAGATCTGCCTGCCTCTGCCTCCCAAGTGCTGGGATTAAAGGCGTATGCCACCATGCCCAGCTCAGTATTCTTTTGACAAGTGCTTGCAAACTCATTGTCTCTCTTCTATACATGAAGCCCCAAACCTCTAAATTGGTTATTAAACCAAACATTTAATTATTATTTTTTGAGATAGGGTTTCATATAGCCCAGGCTAGCCTCAAACTCACCATGCAACCAAGGCTAGCTTTGAACACCTGGTCCTCTTGCCTCCACCTGTCTAATTACTTTTCTTCTAATACTAATACTTGGTCTGGGATGAAGACAAATGCCTGTAACCTTTAGATACTTTCATTTTTGTATCAGGGGCTTATTCTCCATGGAGGATGTAGTGCGAATGGAAGGAAGTAGTGAGA